CCGCCCCGACCCTCCCGCGGGCGCGCCGGGCTGAACCCAGGTAAGGGGGCCGCGCGCACGGGCGCGGGCGACACCAGAGACCGGACGGAGACGGGACACGCGCCGGAGCGGACGGACACAAAGGCGGAGCCGCGGGAGCCGCACAGAGCCCGCAGACAGCCCTCGGAGAAGGGGCGACGTCCAGGAGGACGGAGGGACGCGGCCGGGGAGGGAGGGGCGGGGTGCGCAGAGCCCGGAGAGGAGCGAGGCGCGGCACACGCTCAGACCCCTAGCGCTGGGGCACAGACGGGCGCGAGGAGATGCCCGGAGACAGGCGGCCACGCTCAAGAGTGGGCATGCGGAGGCAGGGGCGACATCCAGCCAGGGAGCGGAGTCAGAGCAGGACAGCCGGACAGCCCTGACCTAGAGACAGACCCTCCCACGGAGAGGCACGCCTAGGTGCACAGCCGCGGGTACACAGCCCGCACACGCCGGCCAGGGCCTCGCAAAGTTCCCTCTGCGCGCGCCGGCGCCGCCGCAGGTCCCCGGAGCTGGCTGGCTGCAGTCCTGAGAGGGAGGTGCCGGGCACACCAACGCCGATCAAAACCCTCTTCCTCCTGGGCTGCGAGCTGCCTCACTCCCACCAGCAGTGGGGTGCTTTTGAGGGCTGAAGCTTGCTGGGCAGAGCAGGCTGTGCCCACACTTCCAAGGAGAATGTGTTAAGAGGCTGCCTACTTCAGCCTCCCCTGAGGCTACACCTGAATCCAGGTGCCCAGGGCTAGGCCCGAGGATGTGGGTGTCGGCTCTGCTGGGTGTTCGAGCCTGCTGGGACCTGAGGTCCACTGCCAGGGTGGTCAGAGATGCGATGGGAACTCACCTCCGGGCCTCCCCTTCCGGTCCTCACCGGCCTCCCTTTGCTCTGTGCTCCCCAGGCTCAGGACTGCAGGTGGGCATCTGCACCGCCTGGGGACCGTTCACTGTGCAGACGGGACAGCCTGCTTGGAAAGCCGACCCTACCGGAGCTCTGACTCGGCATGGGCCTTGCCGCGGAGGCAGCTCAGCTCTGCGCACGGCTCTGAGGGTGCCGCCCGTCATGGGGGCAGCCCTCTCCCAAGGGGCCCTCATCGCCATCGTCTGCAACGGCCTCGTAGGCCTCTTGCTGCTGCTGCTGTGGGTCATTCTGTGCTGGGCCTGCCACTCTCGCTCTGCGGACGTCGATTCTCTGTCCGAATCCAGTCCCAACTCCAGCCCTGGCCCTTGTCCTGAGAAGGCGCCACCGCCCCAGAAGCCTAGCCATGAAGGTAGCTATCTGCTGCAGCCCTGAAGGCCCCTGGCCTACCGTGGAGTCCGGGACCTAAGTCTGCCTCACTCAGAGCCTGGAATCAGGATCTCAGAGTGGAGTCAGCCTAGGGTCCAGAACTCAGAGTCCAGCCTTGGTGGATCTGGACCCAGCAGCCCAGACTCTAGCCAGCCTGGCTCCAAGAGAGGCTTGAGTGGTCCTAGAGAGATAGGCCTGGGGTGGGAGTTTAGGAGTTGGTGCTAGGGCCAGGGCCATCTGGACTCTGCTCCATCCCAAGGGCCAAGGGCTGGGTTTATCCTTCCCGAGGCTCAGCGCCTCTGGGTCTTTTAGGTCAGAGAAGCAAACTGGAACCCATGGCAATAATGGGAGGGTGTCTAGGCTGGGCCCCTCCCCTGGTCTTCTCACTGTTTGCTGGATAATAAATGGAACTGTGGCTCTACCCTGAGATTTTCTTCACTTGCTGAAGACCCGCGGTAGCAAAATTAAAGGTGTAGAATGAGCTTCCAGACATATTTTATCGTTTATTTGTATAAAGTAACAGAGGGTAATGATGATCACGATAGCCCTAACCCTGGAAGATGCTGGGACCTTAGGAACAGAATGAGAACACCAAATGCTGGACCTGATCAGGGCTTGGTTCCTTTGCTGAGTGCTTGGGCACCATGGTTCCCAGCCCAGGGGCTGCAAGTCCTGGGTTCAGATGGAGCAGGGACTGAGGCCAGGCCCTCAGGGTTTGGTTTTCACTTCCCTCACCAGATTCAGCAGTTTGTCCAGTTTTGCGATCTCCACAGCTGGACCCTTCTGCACTTCCTGCCCTTTCTTTTCCTGGAGAGGGGAAAATATCCACGGAGGAAGAATAGTGAGGATGGACTGGCTTCGTCGGGCGCTAGCCCCGACTACTCTGCCCAGTCTGCCCTGGCCGTGGCGCTTCTCCCTCGCCAAGTCAGTTTTGTGTCCCTGCTACCCGCCTTTTATGTGGTCCTTCTCCAGCCCGGGTTAGGTGACCCAGAGAGCCTGTAAGAAGGCATCCAGCTGTGGTTCTAAACTGCAGTTGGACAGCTCTTGCTGCTGGCAGGAGTGGGAAAAGGCACCCATCCTCTGACCCTCAGAGGAAGGAGCCTGTCAGGCCAGCACTCGGGAGGGCCAGGGCCCGGCTGTGGGGAGCACTGCCCGCAGGAAGGGCATGGCCCTATCAAGGCGCTAGTCGGTGTGCTTCGAAGAGGCACAGCGGTGTGGACAAGGCCACAGAGGCCCTCACCTAGTGCTCTCACTGAATGGTGCTAGGTCAGGTTCAGGGTAAGATGTGGTTTGGAGCCCAGACCTGGTGTGTCAGACACGCAGCGTGGAGGCCTGGAGAGACCCACGAAAGAAGACAGAATAGCCCATGCCATGCCCGATGTCACTGGCCGGGACTGCCCTTCAGAGGAGGAGATCTGAGTTTATGACCGTCAGCCTACTGACAAGACATTGTAATGCTTCTGCTGCTAAGTTGGGCTCTGAGAAAAAGGGGCTGGGGCCCTGGAGTGTCACTCTCACAGCCCTGGATTACTCCTCAGCAGATCACACCAGTTGCATCGCCCTACTTCCCAGAAAGGAGGGTGCAGGCTTTGCTGGGGTAGACCAGGCAGCTGCCATTTCCCGCCCGCCCTCGGCTCGTGGACCTCCACCCACCCAGCCACCTGTGTCCCCTGCTCACAGGCACCTGTCCAGCCTTGCCCGCCTGCCTGGGCCTCGCCTGAGCTGTAAGTAGGGGGAGAGTACAGGGACAGGCAGCTCCTTCCTCGAGAGCCTGTCTGGAGGTCTAGCAGGGGAAAGCAGCTGCTCCTGCACCCGTGACCGGGGAACGGTCCTCTGTCGGGGATGGCGTCCCCTTCACCCGAGCACACAGCCTCGGGAGGGACGTGCACGGAGCGGCGAGTGGGGAAGGGGACACCACCTAGCCAGCCACATCAGCCGAATCAGCCCTGGCGATCACTGGGGTGACATGTCGCAGCCAGATCGTCCTCACTTCCAGGAGGCCCGTTGCTGACTTCATCCTGGGTGCTCACACCACGTCCAACTCAAGTTTCCTCCTGCGTCTGCTCCTAGATCTCTTTTCCCCCAGTCCCTCACAGCCCAGGGCCTCAGCCACCCGGCTCACCTCTGCACTCCTAAGGCAGAAGAAGCCCAAGTTTGAGCCCAGCCGGGGCAGCTCAGTGACTTAGCAAGAACCCATCTCAAAATAAACAAATAAAAGGACTTAGGGTACAGCTCACTGTGAAGGCAGTTCACAGTGTGAAAAACAGATCTTCTCCCAGTGAAGGGGGCCCCTAAATCCCAGGGGATGGGAGTGAGGCCAACACGTCCCCAGCTTCCTGTGCTGGGACCCCAAAGTGCTGAGATTACAGGCATGTGTCAGCATGCCTGGCTTGGATCTGGTGTTTAGTTCTAGGTGTCCTTAACTCCCTATATGACTTTGGGCGAGTCCCTTGCCTTTTGTTTTTGTTTTTGTTTTTGTTTTGAGAGAAGGTCTGCTATGTAGTTCAGATTGGCCTTAAACTCACTATATAACCCAGGGTAGCCTCGCCTCTAACTCATGGCAATCCTCCCGCCTCAGCCTTCTCTGTGTTGGGATTCCAGGTATGTACCATCACACCCAGCTGTTCCTTGCCTTTTTGAGCTTCAGTTTCCCATCTGAACAGTAGTTAGAGAAAGATAGTCCTTGACGCCTGATAACAATCACACCTGACAACGATAGTAGGATGCTCCCTGAGCAGGGACGCCCAGGCCGCTGGGGTAACCCCTCTAGGGAAGGGGTTGCCCAGTAGGGATGCCCAGAGGACTTCCTTTTGTATGAATCACTTGGTGGCTGACAGGGTCGGATGTAAATTTCACGGAAACCTCTAATCCACCCAAGTACCACCCCCAGCTGCCCACTGCTCAGGTCCTCAGAGAGGGAGGACCTGGATACACAGCCTAGCATTCCCAGCCATGACCAACCCTTGCTCTTTGAGGGGCTGGAACTGGGAAATTCTTGCCTCCCGAAATCAGAGTGGGTAGGGCTCCCCCATACCCACCATTCTCACGGTGTCATGGCTGTGCTCTTTCCTCCAAAGAGTGGCCATCTCCCCCCAGAGGGCTGTCCAGCTCTGCCAATTCAAGCCTACCCCACTCTACTCATTAAATTAAGAACAGATTTTATCTGTTCCACACCGTGCTGCCTGGTTCCCCCTCCTGAGGCCAACTAGCTGGGCTCAGCAAAGAGACTCAGACCCGCCCCCCACAAGCCCACCACAGCCTCTGGGCCACAGCTGCAGGCGCTTAGCAGCCTTCAGAATATTTATAGCCAAGTCACCCCCTCCCCCAGCTGGCTACAATTACAGGCCCAGCCATTCTCCCAGCCCTTCCCTCCCCACCGTGGTGGGGACAGACCAAGCCAGCTCCAGAGGGGTGCTACAAATGGCCCTTGCCTGGGTGAGGGCATTGTAGGGAGAAATCAGTAGCTAAAAGAGAGGCTTCTGCCCCTGCCTCAAACTGCACTACTGCCATAAATTGCAACCAGGAGGTATAGTTATTAACGCAATCTGGCCCAGCCCTGATCCTGGCCCAGAACCTGACGGGAAAGCAGAGAGCCATTTTTCACTCTTCATACACAAACAGGCAGACTGATCTCCAGATCCTTGGGCTCTGGATTCTAAGACCTGGGTTCTGAAGTCTGGGTTCTGAAGTCTGAACTTGCACTCAGGTCTAGGCCGAGGTCATGGCTCAGAGCTCTGGAGCCTGTATTTGGGGCCCTTGGGCTCTGAGAAGAGTTCCCTGACCAGTAGAGACCCAGAAGCAGAAACCAGAGCTCATACAGGGGACTGCGTAGCTGCTGAGGTGTTAGCCTCCTCCCAGCTGTTTCCTCCTTCCCTGAGTACACTTCCCAGCTCAAGGACCGTTTGGACCGAAGCTCTGGGAAGCCCAGTGATGAAGCATCAGCTACGTCTCAAGTCCCCTGCCGGGCTGGCCTGTCACACCCCACGGCCTCCCCCACTGCCAGTGAGCCGCTGACACCCTCACTCACGCGTCCCCCGGCTCAGGCCCGCGTGCTCCCTGGCGACCTCCGCCCAGGGCCCACAGGTAACTCAGATGCGGCTTGCCAAAAGCCCTTTCCTCACAAACCTCCCTCTGCGGGCCTCAGTCTTGCGGTGACACCATCTTCGCCTGGGTCCTCCAAGCCAGAAGCCTGGGTTCACCCGTCTCCTCCCCTTTGCTTATCCCTGCAGTGGCCCAAACTCCTAGCACCCTACCTTTGGCATCTTGCGCAGGTTGGGCGAGAGCTTGAGGCAGGTGATGTGCCCGCGGTCGTCGCCCACGATGATGATGGGGTAGATGGGGTTGAACTCCACGTGGGTGATCTTAGTTTTCTTTTTGGCTACCACGGGCTGATTGCAGATGGCCTCGTACTTGTTGATGGCCAAGTCAAACACATGGGCCTGTGGAGGGACCAGTCTCACATGCTCAGGGGTTCACGAGGACCCTGGCCACCCTCACGGGAAGCAGCCCCTGGACTTCTACAAAAGGCTAACAGCGCGCTAGAGCTGGGGGCGGTGGGAGGGAGCTTTGTGTCTCCGTGTATGTTTTACTTTGGTCGAGGGAGTGAGAATAAAAGCTTAGGAATGTTAAGCCTGTGCAAAAACAGTAGCAGCTGCCACTGGTCTGGTCTGATATACTTCTCACGCATGAGTTTTCACCATCTAACTATACTCCTTACAACCACTTTCTAAGGTGGTTCTGTTACTATTATCCCTATTCTATAAATGAAGACTTAGAAGTTCTCTAACGGTTTGGTAAGTGGCAGAGCCAGGGTTTATCCCAATTAACAGATGTGAAGTGTTTAGACAGTGCTGGACATATAAGCGCTCGATAAATGTCTCATGTTGTCTTTGCCACACTCTGAGCTCAAACCACTCCCAACTCTTCCCTGGACAACTGTGGCAGCCTCCTGAGTAGGCGCCCTGCTTCCACCCTTGGGCTTCCACAGCCCGTCATCCATGGCGGCCAGACTTCCCTTTCAAAAAGTTAAAATCTTCCCAGTGTCTCCTGAGCATTATAGATGCAATCCGGGTTCCTTACTCTGCTCCCCAGCTCTCCCCTTGCTCATACCCTCCGGCCACACTTGCTTCCCGTCCTCCTCAAGCTCATGCCCACCTCAGGGTGTTTGAGCTGGGCTCCCTCAGTGTGGACGGCTCCCGGCCCGCCTGCCCAGGCGGCTCCCTGTCCCTCAGCTCTCAGCTCGAGTGACCCCTCTTCACAGAAGCCTCTCCCGCCCACCCTGAGAAACTACCCAACCCTTTTCTTCTCTCTTTTTACCAGCTTCATGGAGATTTAATTCACATACTATAAAATTCATCCACTTAAAGCATACAATTCTTGGTTTTTAGTATATTCACAGTTAGGCAACCATCACCATAACCAATATGAGAATTTTTATCACCTCAAAACAATCCTTGTATCCGTTAGCAGTCACACCCATTTTCTCCCAGC